CTGACTACGAGTTGGACACGAGTCGAGTGGTGGCCAACATAGACATCGACTGTTTTGGAGTGCAGTTGGCTTTCCAGGACTGGGAGTTCATATCAAGCCATCCCTGCGCCACACGAAACAAAGGGGTCATCAGTTCGGCCAACAGAGAGGCCAAGAGGTGTGGTGTTTATCAGCGGCAACGCGTAAGGGATGCCCGCGAAGTGTGTCCGGAGTTAGAGCTCCGGGACGTAACCACACTTCCCCTCCAGATATACGAGCAGAAGTCGGATCAGTTGCGAGATGTGGTCAACCGATATGTCAATGGATCGCCTGTAGAGCCAAATGGGACAGACGAGCTGTGCATCGACTTGACTGCCGAGTGCTATCCAAATGGGAACCGCTATCACGACTGGAAGCAACTCCAAGCCATCGGAGCTCTTGTCGAGACATCAAACGGACAGTACGTTTATGACACTGAACGGTGGCATCAGTGGTCGCCGTTCGCTAAGGCGGTGCTCATTGTCTCAAAGATACGCCAAGAGTTTGAGGCGATCACTGGTCTGAAGTGTTCGGCGGGAATCAGTTATAACAAGTTCTTAGCGAAGATCGCCTGCAATTACAATAAACCCAATTCGATGACTGTTTTGATGAGCAAATCGGGAATCGCCAGAGTCTTCGAGACTATGCCCATCGATTCGGTCGAAGGGCTCAGAGGAAAGTTGGGTCAACGCATACTACAAGAGCTCAATGTGTCTAATCTGATAGACATCCGAGAATACTGTCTGTTATCATTGACTAATCGATACGGCGCTGATGGGGGTCAGGTGTGGCAGAGGGCGTGGGGTATAGACTGCCGGCCCGTTATCCACTTTGTGGGCGCCAAACAGATAGCAAAGATGAAGAGTTATTACCCGAAAGCGATGGACTCGACGGACCTCTCGGACGACGTGAGACAAGTGTGCAAAGCGTTTGTCGACAAATTGAACGCTGAGTTGCGGACCAACGGCCGAGTGGCCCGACGTATGCGAGTCGAGTGCTTTCGATGGGACGGACAGTCCAATCATTGTGTCTTCGATGTCGGCCTCGACGCCCGTATGAGCTATCAATTGGAGGACATTTACGACGAGGTTATGGAGTACATTGATCTCAACCAATGTAACTCTGGATTCCGAGTGTCGGCGCTGGATATGTATAATATTCGGCGCACTAATGGGCGCCTATAGTCATGATTTCAATGTAAGCTGAATCGTCTTAATATACACTAAATTCATTGGTATCACAAATATTGTCATTTGTTTCTGAAAACTAGGTATTACGGGCTGAGACTGTGGCGTAATGGATGAGTGGCACCGGTACTCATCTATTCGCGCGTATATTGTGGTCTGACTGCATTCGGGGCTTGGATTACAAAACGTTTATTTCTACGCCTTCTATAACACAGTGCATGCAGTTTACCAGCGAAACAGTGAACTGGTGTCAAATGGCCCTGATGATGCCTGTTGAGTTGACCTGGGTTTCCCTGCTTAAGAAGGGGGTATCGACTGACAGCAAAGGTCGATACAAAACAACACACACAACACCGCTGTATATGAATTATTACAGTATTATAATTATTACCGAGTTAACTTATTTTGTTTTATTTATTTTTAGTTACTATTTGATAGTTTAAAATTGTTTTGTGATTTTTATCTTATTTTTATTTGATTTGATTTTAAATAAATTAATTTTTAATTATTTTATATTTGTTAATTTAACGATTAGTATTAATATCAGTACTATGATTTATATATAATACAATAATTTGTTTTAATTCAAATTAAAATGTCAATTATTTAGAAAGCAAAATATTGTTCACTAATTGTATAACTTATTTTGACGTTTCAATTAAAATAATAAATATTCTGTTGGTTATTAACATAATAAAAGTTAATTAATTGTATTATTAGTTTAGTTTAAGGTTTAATGTTTAGCCATAAGTTTAAACACAAATACTTGCCATCGATTTGATTTTCTCAACAAATTCTTTGAGTTTAATGAGAGTCTCATTGAAAGTCATATTCTGATGAACTGTACGGAACTGTAACGCACTTAAGGTCTCATTGAATGTGCAATGAATGCAAAGTCTATTGCAATAAAGCACTCAAATATGTGGTCTATTTTGGTATACATTTGCAATCATTTTTATATAACTTTTGGTATAATGTGAACACAATCTAAATGTCCAATTAATGCAAAATAACTTAAATTCTCAATAAATTATTAATTAATATGTAAATTAAGTAAACTCTAAACCATTAACTCTAAGGAACACTATATGTGGTGTGAATTGAACCAAAACAGACCGAACAGTATTACAGTTATACTGTATAATGATATCCAATGCGATTCAATGATAGCCTTAACCGCGAGTTTTGAAGGTTAGGTTTTGTTGTGGTTTACGGCATGAGTTGAATAACTTTAAGACCGAATATATGGACAACGGATTCATCTAAACATATATTTAAACTTCAGTTTCGTTTTTAAGGTTAAAATATATATTAAAATAAGTTTTCAATTTCTTTGAGTCTAAACCACAACATAAACGTTGAAAAGAGACCGACGGATACACACAAACAGACCGATGGCTAGAAACAGACCGCGGGTGCCATTAGTGCCGATACTAAGCACACTTACAACTCATTACACATCTTGAGTCACAATTCATAAGATTAACACAATTTGTGCGATTAATAAGTGATTGAATTGATTGTATAATTGATTTAATTGTTGGCTATAATGTCTCAATTGCAACAAGGTGAGATATTCTTTGAGTTTAATAGCTTTATTTAGTTTTATATTAAGAATTTTAAAACCATTTCAATAAAAACATTTGGTTTTATTAAAATAATTATTTATAAGTTAAATTAATCGAATTTAATTATGTTTTAATTAAGATATATTTTATTATAAGTTTTATTTATTATAATTACTATAAATTAAACTCACATTTGAATGAATGGTAGGAAACAGAATGTGAAATAAATATATTTCTATTGACTAATAGGTGCGGGAAATGCAAGTCCTGTGTCGGCCAGCGTTCAGACCATCGGTCCATACATTGAATTCGTGCTACAGATTGATGAGGAAAGTCGTGGACAACAGTTGGCCATAGATTATGAGGACTTTGGGTCAAGGATGCGGGCACTGAGAGGACGTGTGCGCCGTTGTGTCCGTTGGCTTTGGGCTCATAAGGAGGACATCTTTTTTGTCGTGAGAGTCGGGAAATGGATTTACGATCGCATCAAGTGATGACCAATTGTCTCAACACTTTTCATATTTCTTAATATATTTCTAATCTTATGAGTGAAACGTATTTCACATAAATGACAACAAATGCTATGTTTTATGTTTAATTGGATTTTATTATATTATCTTATATTTTGTTTGTTTTAAATGATTAGATTAGTGCTATATATGTGTGTTGAATGTAATCTACTATTGAATTGTTATAAACTTAAATAAACTTTATTCTTATCATTGAATGAATGAATTGTCGTTTACTATTATATCGTATAATTAATTTATAGTAAATATTGATTATGAATGAATTTAACGCATACTATATAACTCTCACACACTTTAAAAACTATTCAAAAAAAGTTTGGCAGTGAATTTAATTGTCGTTTTCACCGCATTTATGACACCATTTGCATTGTAACAGTAATATTGACAGCAATACAGAGATTGGGTTCAGCACCGGGAGGCCAGTCCGCGGATATATTCTGATATATTGTGTTTCATTAAAATATTCCGATGGCAAACATATTCTGTATTTAAACCGTATGTCCGACACTTTATTCACTAAAATACATCGGACTCTCCATTTGATTACGTGTTGATTGCATCACAATATTCATCAAAACTATGAATACAAATGTCTGAGTGTTTGTATGACTAAATCAACAGTATTTAAGACCTGTCTATGGGTGTGAATACTACGACTTTTGTATGCATTGATACTTTTATTATGTGATATATATCACAGATTGATATAATTAGTGCCAAAATAAATGCGAACAAAATGTAGCGACAAATAGTGGCAGTGGTTACCCGAATACTACAGAAAAACTTGTGGCCACACCTGATAACACCGACACTGATATGCCTGACACTAATCTTAAAGACTCGGGTCTTAATGGTTCAGACGGTCACCACAACATTCAATCGGATGATATGATTAGTGCCGGAAATGAATCATTGATTCCCTATTACAGTCAGCCCTGAACTTCGCAAATATTTCTTAATCAATCTAATAATGATAATACTCCCGATTGGCTCACAGCTATGTTATTATCAATGTTTCTCATACCTTCACGGGTATGGAATAAAAATGTACTAGAAAATGAAATACTGAAATAAATTATACCCAAGACACAAAATACACTCGAGTTTGTAGCATTCAATTGTCGAAAACTGAATTTCGATGGAGTTATGGATTTTTTGGAGTCCAAACATTTAATTAATGTTATTCACCAAAATAAATCACAACTTAATGTAACAAACATTTTATAATTTTTATAATTAAAATGATTAAAAAACAGCATTTGTTTGAATGATGGCTCGAAAGAGTGTCTAAACTAGTGATCCCTTCGCTGTCGAGAGAAAACAAACGGCTGTTCAGAAAATACGAGTCCATTCGCCTTAAGAGCGCTGAGAAACGCCTTCACCTGTGGTTTCAATGAAGAGATCAATGAAACGACGGATCAAATGAAGTGACAATCAATTGAGAGCAGGCATTGGCCGACAACACTGTTTGGCCGCTTCGCTGACGCCATCAAAGTTGAGTTGATTCGAGTCTTCGGCGAACTCATGAGTCAGTTGTCCACTGAATTGTAGCTCTCGTTTGATGTCACCGATTGAGTCCATATAACGAAGAATCTCATCGTTTATGTCTTTCTAACGGCAGACAAACATTCATTGATTATAAAATGATTGGCTAATCAATAGTCGCTTTACATCCAAGTCATTGATAACTAGTGTTAGACACACGTCCTTATCTATGGGGGCATTCATTTCGTACGTATCCACAGCTCTTATCTGTTAAAACGATACAAAAGATGGTGTTTTACTAACTATTAGTAATCGACAGGACTTCCAGACCTTAATATCAGACCTGAGGTCTGGTTTATCGGTGCCGTAGTGTTGCATAGCGTCGGCGTATGTCATCCGTGGGAAGGGTTCATAGTTTTCAACAAAACTTATCGAATGAATCAACTCTTCGATCAAAGACATGATGCCATCGGAAGTCGTAAAAGACATTTCTAAGTCTAACTGAAGATCAGATCCAGAGTTAAGAATCGACACAAAAATTAATTTATATAATCAATACTTGTGTGAACTCTGGCTGTCGGTCGGGTTTTGTGCCCTCATTCCTATAGCACCGGGCGATTTGGAAGTACCTATCGATGCCGCCCACCATTAATAGCTGTTTAAACTGTTGCGGACTTTGGACTAAATTATAGTAACAGTCCTTGAATTCTGTCGGAACCACAAACTCTTTGGCGCCCTTTTGGTGACAATTCATTAAAACAAAGAGTCATTCAATTAAAAGACAACCAATTCGTCCATTAAGTGGTAAGACATACGCCGGGCGTCGCCTTAAACAGTGTGGGCGTCTCGACCTCAACGAAGCCGTACTGTTGTGTCAAGAATTGTCTCATTGTNCGAAGCCGTACTGTTGTGTCAAGAATTGTCTCATTGTGTTCATCACGTGAGACCTCAGCCGCAGAATCGACTGCATCTTCGGGTGCCTTAAGTCGATGTACCGGAACTCCAGTCGCGTCTTCTCATTGACCTTCTGGTAGTCTCTGATAATAAACGGCACGTCTTTTCGGCACTCATTCAACACATTCACCTCTTCGGCCACCACTTCGATGGCGCCGGTCGTGAGCGCTGGGTTCACGTCCTTATCGGGACGTCTGACCACTCGTCCCATCACTTCGAGCACCGATTCGGGCATCAGTTTCGACACAACCTTCTGATGGTTTTTGTCGTTTAAGACAATTTGTGTCAAACCGTATGAATCGCGAAGAATCGCAAACTTTGCCATTCGTTGGAATTGAATCCAACCGCAGAGTCTCACTCTTTGGCCGACATCTGTGTCCGCGAGTTCACCGCAAGTGTGACTTCTTGTGGACAATGCGCTCAAATCGCCGGTCGTTTGCAACCGTTCGTCGGCTTCTTCTTCGGCTGCACTCATCGACAGCCGAACCCTCTTTTTAATGCTGCAATTTGTCGGTGACTTTCATCTGAGATGACATCGTATTGTTATAACTGTCGAGAACTCGGATGTGCAACGGATTGGCAACCGTCTGCCCGATCGGCAACTCCTTGGGATGGCTATCGGACCGCACTTCCATCGGTCAACACATTCATTTGTCCGACTTCTCGGTGAAAGAGGCCTCGGCCTCGACGGCCAACACTTCTCATCACAGGAGTCGAGACTATTGCGGATGTAGTGATGGATGGCCTTGCGATGGCAGACAATGCGCGCCATATTTGACAGCGTCCTCAGGATTATGGATCGGTTGGCGTCTAATTGATGGTCGATATGTCACCGCCGAAGACGTTCATCACAACGGGTTTTGTCACAAAAACTTTTGATTCACACAATCAGTCGCTTATTGTTTATGTTTTCGGTGCAAACCATTCAATACGTGCGTCACTCTCCCAACACTTCGCACAACACTATAGTCTATGCGATACAACAGTCACTCAAAGTCTGTCTATTAGGGCGTCATTTATGGGCACAATTGATATGCGGTCTAAAATCACGTCAAATGTCGGCAATAATTGCAAATATATTATAAATAAGACATTTAGACACAATCTAAATGTCCAATTAATGCACAATAGCTTCAATCGTCAATATAACTTCAATTAATATGTAAATTAAGTAAACTCTAAACCAACTGAACCTTAAATTTGAATGATAGCCTTAACCGTGAGTTTTTAAAAATTGCGACCGACTGATGGAAAACTTGCGACTGACGTACCCAAAGGTCCGAAGGCTGGAAATGGTCCGGCGCTGTCATTTTTGCCGATACAACACATCCATACACACTATATGTGGTATGAATTGTATCCCAAAACAGACCGAACCTTCCGATTGGATGATAGCCTTAAGAGACCGAAGGATACAACCAAACAGACCGAAAGCTAGAAACCGACCGCCGGTGCCTTCATTGCAGACCTGACACACCCATACAACTCATTATACACTTTGAGTCGCAAGTCACACAATTGTGCGATTAATAAGAGATTGAATTGATTGTATAATTAATTTAATTGTGGGTTATGTTTCAATTGCAGCAAAGTGAGATATTCTTAAGTTTAATGACTGAATTTAACTGAATGATAGCAAACAAAATGTTTAATATATATATATACTGTATTTCCATTGACTAATAGGTGCGGGAAATGCAAGCCCTGTGTTGGTCAGCTTTCAGACCATTTATCCGTCCATTGAAGTCGTTGTACCGATCGATGAAGAAAGTGGTGGACAACAGTTAGCGAGAGATGGGTACGACTTTTGGAAGAAGATGAAAGCACTGGGAAAACGTGTGCGCCGTTGTGTTCGTTGGCTTTGGGTTAACAAAATCCGCATCTTTGATATCATCAGAATCGGGATATGGATTCACGGGATATGGATTTACGATCGCCAATGAAAGCGATGGCCAAAGAAACGTATTTCACATAAATGACAACAAATGCTATGTTTTCTGTTTAATTGGATTTTATTATATTATCTTATATTTTGTTTCAAATGATTAGATTAACTGTTATATGTGTGTTGAATGTGATCTACTATTGAATTACTATAAACTTGAATAAACTTTATTATTATCGTTGAATGAATAGTAGTTTACTATTATCTTATAATTCTATGAATATTCACACTTCAGTCGATTCTGTCTTCACTGGAGTCGATGGTGTCGTCGATTCGCCGCTCATTTCGCTATTCATACCAATCATAGGAATCGCCGACTTTCATACAAATCACTACATTCTTTCGCATTACTTTTGGCCTTTTTGTTGTCCTCTTTCGCGTCTTTCGATTCTTTGCTGTCTTTCGCCACAGTTTTCGAGTCTTTCGTCTCTTTGGCGTCCTTTTCGGTCGTCTTTTCCACAGTTTTATCGCTCTTATCCTTCACAGCGCTGTCCTTCTCTTGATTTGTTTGCGATTATAAAACTTGTAATATTTGGCGATCCCTTCAGAGCCGGGAGTCGTCGCGAAGTCGAGTGTTGTGTTGGATGTGAAGCCATGGGATGACGAGACGGATATGAAGGAACTGGAGGCGAATGTGAGGAAATGGACGGACTCGTGTGGGGCGCCTGTATGTAGTGGTGGACAGGGGTGTGATTGAAGTGTTTTAATTGATTTGTTTGGCGCACCTATAGCTAAGTTCGTTCCGTTGGCGTACGGCATACAGAAGCTGCAAATCGTGATTGTCATCGAAGACGATAAGGTGTCGGTCGAGGAGTTGACTGAAAAGCTGAAAGCGCTCGAAGACTTCGTTCAGAGCGTAGACATCGCGGCGTTTAATAAGATTTAATTGTTTTTTGACGGCTTTTATCGATTTAATGTTTATGCGATTTATTACAATATATGCATTAATAATGAAAATAAACGACAAATGAATTTGTTTTAAATTAGTTTCAATTTTATTTAATTCACAAAAACTTTTTATTTTTACTAAATGTTAGGAAATAATTGAAAGTTTATTAATAATAATATATATAAGAAATGGTATGAAAGTCATGAGAGGCGAGTCATCGGACGTCCGCGACAGCCGGTCGAGTACTTCGGCGACAGACTGGGCGTCGTCTAAGAAGATGAGGCACTGCGTCATTGACACGAAGTCCGGGACATCGAGATTGCGGTAGAGTTTGACGAGAATCTTGAGCACATCGTTCCGGAAGTGCCGGTTCTCCATCAGAGACATCGTTATCTTGAAGGCGTACGAGAGAATGGCCGCCA